ACGTTGTTCTGATTTTGTTATCTAATGTTTGTATAGGGTTTTTTTTGTCAACTGTTGTTACACATTATTATCTTTGAGTAAATCCTCTGCTTTCTTTATGCAGTCTTCTGTGTCCAGGATTACTGTTGTTCTTCCTTTATCAGCCGGCAGAATAACTATATCTTTTCTATTCTTCAGTTTCTTCAATGCATTTCGCTCTTCATTCTTCCTTCATCCAAAGTCTGAATCTTATGAAAAACTCCGCCAACATGAACCGTTGCCTGCAGTCAATTTAAGACATGAGAATCACTAACAATTCACAAATATAAGACCCTTGAAGTTCCTAGTTTATATTCATTTCTCCGTAATAACTCATTGCGATATCAAAACACTTACATGCACTATTTTACGAACATAATATAAGAAAATATCGTTTTTATTTTCGACTACAGAAGGCCAAAATTATTTGAAGATATAGCAGCTCATTTTCACAAAAGCAAATGCTCATAACACCTCCATAGGTATGAGGTTGACAACGCATACTATGCGCGAAAATCCATCACAATAGCGTTTATCCTCACTCGGCATTGAAAAAAGGTCGTCAGTTTTAATTTCTGTCCCGTCTTTTTAAGAATGCTTGATGACAGAGGTTTACTCTTCAAAAGAGAATGTCTCTATCTCTTCATTGCCACTCGGAGATTCTCTGCCTTCCATTTTCTTCCCAGATTACTGGGATGCTAAATAATCCTCCTAGAAACCCTGATAGAAGTTTTCGGATGAAACTTCAACAACTTCTAAGTCGAATTTTGTTAGTAACTCCAGAACTACAAAAGCTACTGAACTAGTTGTATGTCTTCTGTCCTCTAAACAAAATATTGATTGAGCACAAATTGCCTACAACTAAATGTTGTGTTAAGTGATTCTTGGTGGATATTTAGGCATAGTTGTTGTTTTTCATTGGTTGACTTTTGATTGTGAAAAACTTGGATGGTCATACACCGGTAACTGTCACATTAAAATATGTCCTTTGATACAAATCTGGTTTGAGGTATTCCACTATCCCATATCAGCAGTTGCATAGAACCTATCATCAATATATATATATATATATATATATATATATATATATATATATATATATATATATATATATATATATATATATATATATATATATATAGGTTATCAATTGGCTGCATTCCTATTTCTCAAGAAGAAAGCAGTACACTCTATGTCAGGGGAAGTCTTCTAATTCATTACTTACGGAATCTGGCGTCCCTCAAGGCGAGTTGTTCTTTCTCCTTCTCTGCTTTTTTCTTCTTGCATCACTTGCGTCACTCTGATGAAATAAACTTTGTTAAGTATGCCGATTATCTAACTGTTTCAATGCCTGTTAACTTCCAGCTAGACTGTACTAAAACGAACAGTCGTGACCAGTAGGGTGCAGCAGGTGGTCGGGTGTGAGAACAAATACTCGCCCAAGACATTGGCTAGTGACAGTCGCGCTATGTCGTGAATTGGCAGAAGTTAGAATTCATCAGGTGGCTGGCCATTGGATCGGGTCCCAGTGGCTGCTGAATGGTCTACGAGTTGGCTCGCCTTGTAACCGGAAGGTCCTGAGTTCGGATCCTGTTGGTGGGTGCGTACTGCTGAAGAGTCCCAAACTAGGCGTATTTAGTTCCAAAATATTTCCTCGGTGAATTTCAACAATAGCGTCCAAGGAGTGAGAGTGCTCCAGTGACCTTGAATGCATGCTAGTCATTGGTTAACGGCACCTGTCATTATCATAGTTGAAATATCGACGCTTACTCACCGACTAAGGAGCAAATTTCACCCAGATCACATTTCCAAGTACTGTTTGGACAATGTGTTAATAGCTCATTAGAGTAACGATTAAGGATGGATTTAGAGTGTTGATGTCATTTCTGAAAATTTGTTTTATTATCCACATTTTCCTGATAAGTAGTCGTGAATCCTCTTAATGGAAACTATAGTATTTCAACCAAGGGCTTTCAGGGAAGACTGATCAACAGGATAAGAGAGAGAGAGCAACAATTCAGAAAAAAGTCTCATCTTCAGTCACCTCGTTGAATACACATGCACAGAGAATGGTCTAACTCAACAACTGATACTCCTCATTATAACTGGGATGTATTTTTAAGTCATGTCAGAGAAAGATATCCTGTTTAACGTGTGTTTTCATGCATTTTTTCTTGTAAATATACGTCATTTTGTACGCAAAAGTTCACCATTTTTATGATTGGTCGACTGAAGGTCACTCGTGCGTATCTCTCATCCCTTGGGACGCTATTGTTGAATTTTTCATCATTTGAAGTAACTCCTTTGTCGTTGTATTGTTGCACATGAGAAGAGAACCAATTCCGTACATTTTTTCATCAGTTGCATAGGGTAGGTATAGTGTGGAACTAATTAAATATGCGCGTGAGTTCACGCATTGGTCAACTTGATATAACTGTGCGATTAAAACAATAAGAAGTGCAGGAGAGTTTAAGCAGCATTTTGATGGTTGGAAATTCTGGTAGTAGTAGTAGTAGTCCAGTGATTTAAGGAGGCCACTGTATAGGAGTGGTAGTATTTAGTGCCATGCTAGTTTCCTTATTAAGTACATCGCACAGTTACACGATCTCACGGAAATGAAGAGACCCCCACACAAAGTGAATACTGTTGAAATTACAGGTGGTTTGGGCTGTCGCCTAGACTCTATGTTGAAGATTAAATGGCCAGAAGAAAAATAGCCACAAGAAACTGGGAACAAACTACTCAGGAATCTACTGTTCAACAAATTTCTCGAAGAATGTGCAGGTGGATTGGAGACAAGCTGAGGAGATCGCCTAGTAACTTCGCGCGCCAGGCCATTGGTCGAGTGGAGTCAGAATTCGGAATCCACAGGTGACATGCTGAAGATCATGTGAGGCGGAGAGGTGTTAGTGAAACCCTATGTTCCAGTCAGAACCCAAGGGAATAATAGTATTGAGCCGCTTTTGTGAAACATCTTGGCAAATAAACTGCACACTTCACATCATCATCATCATCATAGAAACAAAAGCAGTTTCTGCTGAATAGTCCCTATATCATACCTGACCCTTTTCTGTAATAAACAGTTGAACCAGCCTTCACTGTTGTACACTGTCAGGTGAACCAGTGTAATAGATTCATATGAAAAAAGAAACACATTTACACACAACACAGTGAATCCGTCTTGTTGCAGAGTCCAATTGTTGAAGTCTCCTGCTCATTACTGCAATAAGTAAAACTTTCACGAAAAAATTGATGCCACTACTTGTACAGGCGCGTAATTACCACTTGCTCCATTAGACACCTTTCAGGTATAAAAAGTGTGACTTTTTTGCGGCTAACAAATCTGTTTCAGCTTTCTTCAGGAAAAAAAAGATTCAAGCAAAAAAAGGTCAGTTATCGAAAAGAACTTTATCAAGAATCGATCTTCTCGAAAGTTCATTTCAAAATATGGAAGTAAAACAAATCCCTACAAACCGTCACTCGAACATCAATGAGATGCTCACTGACGACTTGCCCTATTCAGGTAGTGATATGAAGCCACATGATGTGTATTTTGTTTTCGACAGTCTATTATATTTTGCTATGTGTATATGGATCGATATTTCATTATAACTGACAATATGCTTTTGTCTGTCCACTAACTAAATAAACATGTATGACCTTGTTGTCACATGACATTACAACCAATCATGGTAAGACTGGCTATTTATTGGTTCATGTGTACTAGCCATTTTCATATATACTTTTGTACAGTATTCCTGTTCACACATATTTTTTCATACACTCGTACCATTTCACTCACACTCTTGTATGACATTTAATTTCCTTGTCTGGAAAATACAAGTATCATCGTTAAACCTGGTGGTCTTCTGATTTTGCTCTTTCCGCGTCAGGACTATTAACTACTCGGCGAGTACATAACAGGTAGGTAGTTACCTGGGTGGTTCTAGTGAGAAGTCGTGACCTGTAGGTTGCAGCAGGTGGTCAGGTGTGGGGACAAATACTCTCCGAAGACATTGTCTAGTGGTCGCGCTATGTCGTGAGTTAGCAGAAGTTAGAATTCATGGTTTGGCCATTGGATCGGGTCCTAGTGGCTTGTGGTATAGGAGCTCGATAGCATTCTAACCAGTGGGTCCTGGGTTCGTACCCCGGTGGGTGGCTACTGATGAAGAGTCCCAAACTAGGACGAAACAGTTGTCCAGTGCTCCCAGTTGGTTTTCCGATGGTTCTCTAACTAATGTCAGCTGATTGTAAAATCCTGTATATTAACTCTTTTGTTATGTCTTTTATTTTTCTCGAGTTCATCCTTATTTCCATGTGATATTTGAACTCTATTCCCCTTGTATAATCAGTGTGTAGATAGTTAGTCTTCTAACACTGAATAATTTGTCTGCTTACATAATTTATTTGAAATTATATTTTGTCGTAGTTGGCAGTCACCATTCAGCAAGACGGCAGCGTACCTGCAGCCCATTGAAGGAAGTCATATCGCTTCTGAGATTCAAACCCTCATCACCCAGTGTCGCCTGCAGTCTTAGACGAATCTTAGAAGTGACATGAGTTTTTTTCAGCGGGTTGAAGATAAACCGCCGCCGCCTTGCTGACTGGTAGTGGTGGTGGTGGTTTTGGTGGTGGTGGTGGCGGTGAATACCAACTAGCACGAATCCTAGGTAGATCGCGGTAAGGCTTCCTGTAGGGCCGATTGCCTGCAACTATCTAGCATCAACAATTCAAACTGCATCGTGATAGTAAGTCACCTAATGGCATAGTAACAGCCACATTGCAAACTTGACTGACAAGAGAATTCAGTTTGCACCAAATCAAAAGGCCTAGACACATTACATTACAATGCTTAGTAATAACCAGTGTCCGATCACAAATTAAAAAAAAAAAAACAAATGTAATTTAAAAATATCAACTTTATTTATCATATAATATATATAGACATTGACACATTGGATCAAACGTGTTGTCTCTACACCTTAATGGCAGAATCCATAGCTCTGTAAAAAGGAGGGTGAAAAAAATGCCTTGAAATTGCGTCTATTATTATTAGTAGTATTATTCATTTCAATGAAGCCAAAAAACAAACAAACGACAACAACAAGAAAATTGCGAAAATATTCATTCAGATATCCATAAAACACAAAATAATTGACCAAAGAATATCCCCCCACTCGATAATTTCATCCTCCTCTGGCTCTACAATTATACATATGTATGCCAACATACATAGAATATTCTAGAATAGCAGTCAACAACAATATTAGTGTTTTTTAAATATTTCGATTTGTAAAGTAAGATCACAATGGAATTACAGTTCACTAGAGATGCATAAATTATAATAAGCATAAAACTGTAACAGCAAATAGAATATCAACTAAAATTAAGGAGATTTCCCTAACAAATTGAGGATCATTCGAACCTAGATGGCCAGCGGGCGGGGGTTAGGACAATGTCTGAACTAGCTTCTTCATATGGACACATAAATTAGGCTTCTTAATGTGGATCCCAACAGTCAGCCTCAGTAATATTTAGTAAACGAACTCTTAAGGTGAAGTTAAGATTTGTTGGTGTGCGCGGTAAATGACTTTGAAAGCCACCTCGTTAACATCAATCTTGTGTTCTGTATCCACAAGCTGAGATAGAATAGCGCTATGTGAATCGATTTTGTTTGTCCTTTACATAACCACTCACAATGCAGGGTGATGTTCGGAAATCCGACGAGAAACAAGCTTACATCAAATTGTACATCCATAAAGCATTAACAGAAAAGAAGATATAAAGATAAAAATCTCTTATATTCCCTTGCAAATAGAATGCTCGCCAATCACGCTCATGTGGTTCAAGGTTTGTTGCCCGGCCACTAGACGCACTCCTCCTTTACCTCACCTATGAGCCAGTAATAATAAGACTGGTAAGAAGAGGGAAGGTTGGAATGGGCGTGGGGCTAGCAACACCCCCATCCGTTAAAATAAAAAATAAATAAGCACCACAGCTACGGGAACTTGAAGTCCCTAGCTTGAAGCCCCCCACCTGGGCCAGGGGGGTGGACAGACGTAAAAGAATAAAACTTTTAAAAATATCATAAAAATTACCGTGCAAATAGCTTCTGATGAAGTTTGCTGAAGATAGGCTATTTCATCCTTAAAGAAACCGTCTATTGTCTCAGCGCACTGAAAGAAAAACAGACAAACAAAGTGAAGCATTTTATGGATAAGTGGGGCTTTCTTAGATCATATGAAAAATGTTTGCATAACTAATCTGAAGACAGTCTTCATTAGGCATAAAACTTTTATTTTCATAAAATCACACAGTGTAGTGTAGTGTTATACGGTAATTGTTTGCTGCTGGTGTCCCTAGTCTCAAAGCACAATTTATCACTACTTACAATCATATCAAGGTATGGTGAGAGCTGGCTGTTAGCCGAAATTGGTAGACAGTAATTTACGTTAATGTTTGTGTCCCCAATATTGGTCGTGAGAAAAATAACAAGAACAAAGGCTTGCATAGGCGGATACAATTAGCAGATAGATGATCTGACATTCAAGAATCAGCCAAAAAGAGATGCAAGGTTAACTTTCTGTGAGAAACAACCACCAATCAATCAGAAGACTGTGTTTTTCTGCTAACAATAATCTATAATAATAATAATAATGTACATGAAAATCTATAAATATGTGTTGTTTTCCTTAATAAAGGATCTGTAGCCTGGCCTTTGTCTTCTGTTGTTACAAAGGCACTACTCATACAACTTTCTTGCTTCTTTTGTATTCTTATTCTTATTCTCTTGGCTTCCGAGTTCATTATGGGGCTTCTTCAACAACAACAACAACAACACTGTATGTGATTTATCAAAATAAAATCTTATCCATAATGGACCTGATACTCTACCACATTGCTGAAATATTTTTATACTTATATCAATATCTCCACTCTCTTATATTTTCGGCTGGGTCCATACGACTGCCTATAATCTATCTGTCATCTCTTCCTCACACGATCTCCTTCAATAAAATTCCCAATTGAATAGGACAATAAGTAACAAGGTGAATTAGCTATGATGTTAGACTGTAAAATAAAGCGAACAGAAAAAGGCAAAAATGCACATTAGCGGCGTTTATAAAATGCCAACGTATTCTGCTAATAGATATTTAGACTCTAATTCATCACTTCTATTATTTGTCTGTGAGTGAAGACAGACTTAGTTAAGTGTCTGTCTAACAAACTGAGCAGTAGCACTAAGTAGTACAAGAAAATACTTAAAGGATGAAATGAAACAGATAGAAGAGGCGTTGGTGTTAAATAACCAACTATTCAAAACAAGATTTTGAGCGAACACAATTGTGGTTTCGATAACTTCTTCTTCTTCTTCAGCCTCCACAGTTAGTTGTAAATCCATGAATAAACAGAGTACACATATAGCCAGCCAATAAAGGCAAATGAAAATAATATCCGAAACTGTATTGGGGTGCATGTGTAAGTTGAGGTGATAGTCGTCCATTAGTTAACATAGTCAATTAAATGTGTATAGGGTGTTTCGTCAGAAAAATGTGATGAAGTGTGAGTGAACAATAGCGTGGTGATATAGTGTTGTTTTATAATTAACAGAATACAAGTGTCCTTGAGGTGAGAAAATGCGATAACCACAAAATACATACAAATACACATTAACAAAGGAGGCACTAGATAGATGTGAGGGCTGACCGATAATGTCTAATGATAAAATAAAGAGGCTAAATTGTAAATTGTAATAAAATGCTACAGAATTGGTAGGTTTAGTATAAAATCATAAAGGTTGACAAAGTAAGGGTAACAATGAGGTGAAATAAACTGGGTGGAGAAATGGATAATAAAGACATGATATCACAAAATAATAATAATGATAATAATAGTACGAAAAAATTATGATCCTGGTGACCTTATAGTGGGCCAGGGTAGACAAAGAGAGTGAATAAGTTTTTTCTGGTCTTTCTCTATTAATCTCTAAAGCCTCAGCTATGGCTAGGAGGCGTAATCGTGTGCCTTTGGGGAGATTGTTCGGTACCCGATACGCAACTGTAAATGACTCATCTACTTTGATGCTGTGTTCGCTATCCACTAGATGAGACAGAATTGCACTATTAATTGATTTGGTTGTTCTTTTCCCAAGCCAAACAGGAATATGTTCACGAGTGCGTAGAGATAAATTCCTCTGGGTACGACCTATATAACTAGCTCCACAGGAGCAGTTAAATTTATATACACACATTGATGTCGCCATTTTGGGCAATCTATCTTTAATGCACGGTGTCAATATCGGTTTGGTTGAGAAACTGACATACAGTTTTGCGGCACTAAAAGTTCTTTCAATTGATCTTGTTAATCTACGGTTTAATATATCACTGGCTATATCACCTTTGAATTGTACATTTAAGTAAAGCTTTTTCTTACTTACTGTGTCTCGCTTGGTATTATGTGTAGTTTCGTAGATATACTTCTTTACAAAGTTGGTAGGGTAGTCATTTTGTAGCAAGGCGTTTGTAAGATTTTTTATTTCATCTTCAATACAATCCTCGGTACATATGCGTCTAATTCTATGACTAAGACAGCGAATTAGGTTGCGCTTATATTGTATAGGTATGAAGCTATGGAAGTGGGTGTATTGTCCGTTCCACGTCGCTTTCCTATAGATGTTTCTTTTCAAGGTACCGTCTGATCTTTTTGTGAGAAGAACATCGAGAAATGGAATACTACCTTGTAGTTCCTCTTCACAAGTGAATTTAATAGCTGGGTGTACCTTATTGAAGACTTGCAGCAGATGTTGTCTATCCAAATTATTGTTACAAATGATAAAGGTGTCGTCAACATATCGACAATAATAATCGAGTTGGTTTAGTATCTCTTTTAAAGGACCATTTTCCAATTTGGATAGAAATATGTCGGCTAATAAGGAACCAAGGGGAGAGCCCATAGCAACCCCATCTATTTGGCGGTAGTACTCCTTATTAAATACAAATTGGACATTCATAGTGCATTTTAGTAATAACTCTTTCAATTTTCTTGGTGTGATTCCAATTTCTATATTCTTTTCTACGAGTTGTTCACATATGTAGTCGACAGTTTCTACAAGGGGGACGTTGGTAAATAGTGATGTTACGTCCAGCGATAACATGGTTTTGTCTGCTATGTTCATATCTTTAATATTTTCAACAAAGTTAAAGACATCTTTTACACTATATTTGACCAACTGGCGGTGTAACGGTTCTAACAGTTTTACCAACCATTTGGCAGTTAAATGGAAGGGTGAGTTCGACATGTCTAGGATTGGTCGTAGGGGGATTTCCCTGCCCTGTCAACCTTTATGATTTTATACTAAACCTACCAATTCTGTAGCATTTTATTACAATTTACAATTTAGCCTCTTTATTTTATCATTAGACATTATCGGTCAGCCCTCACATCTATCTAGTGCCTCCTTTGTTAATGTGTCTTTACATGTATTTTGTGGTTATCGCATTTTCTCACCTCAAGGACACTTGTATTCTGTTAATTATAAAACAACACTATATCACCACGCTATTGTTCATTCACACTTCATCACATTTTTCTGACTAAACACCCTATACACATTTAATTGACTATGCTAACTAATGGACGACTATCACCTCAACTTACACATGCACCCCAATACAGTTTCTGATATTATTATTTTCATTTGCCTTTATTGGCTGGCTATATGTGTACTCTATTTATTCATGGATTTATAACTAACTGTAGAGCCTGAAGAAGAAGAAGAATTATCGAAACCACAATTGTTCGCTCAAAATCTTGTTTTGATTTCAATATGGGGATTTGTCATTTAACCAACTATTCTATAAAATTCATTAAGAAGATCAGTAAAGGCCAAAAGCAAAATAAAAACAATTGTGAAACTGATAATGATAACATAAATAAGACAGAATATAAGGCGTCTTCAGTAGTTTTACCATATAAGGAGGGAATATATGAGACGCTCCCTAAATAGGATTCCTAATAAAACAGAAATTAGGGTGGCAGTTAAACCTACAAACTCACTCAGGCAGGAGGGAAGGACACGCTCTGTAGGTTAAAGGATCACGTCGGTTGACTCAATTAGACAAAATAATATAATTTACAAAATACCTTGCAATGGCTGTGATTTAAGTCAACTACATGGGTCAAACTAGTAGATCGAGAGTAGTGAGATTATAAGAACAAAAGAATTTAGCTAAGGTTAGAACGATTGATTGAACCTACAAAGATAAGATAAGATGGATAAATATGCCAAGAAGAAATAGAGACGGATTGCAGGTGAGCTGTGGGCATCTTCACGTTACACTAGCCTGCACTGAAGGTTGCTCTCCAGTGTAACATGAATACGAATCGACCAATTGGGCTTGACGATTGAGTGTGGTGGGGGTGGGGAATTGATATAAACAAAATCATATATTTTCAAATTAACCAATTAATTTTTCAAAATTAATCTGGTGCTCACTAGTCACTGACCCTATTCAGGCAGTTAACCTGGAGTTCTAGTGGGAAACTGTGACCAGTAGGGTACAGCAGGTCGAAAATGAGGCAGTAACTCATTGAAGGAGACATTGCGAAATGGTCGTGCTATGTCATGCGTGAATCGGCAGAAGTTAGAATTCCAGAACCATTGGGTTGGGTCCCAGTGACACCATTGTCTATGAGCTTGCCTTGTAACCAGAAGGTCCCAGGTTCGAACTCCTGTCGGTGGGTGCGTGGTGATGAAGAGTCCAACACTAGGACGGGAAAAAGAGATTTCCAGTACTCCCAGGTTTTCCAATGGTTCTCTAACTGATGTCAGCTCATGATGAAATCCTCCATAAAATCATATATACATAAGAAATAAAATCTTGTGAGTAGTTAGTCGTACAGACATTTGATGAGCATGAGGAAGTACTCCACCCCCCCTTGGAACCAGTAATTCACGTTGACAATACAAGGAATAAAACAAAGCTAAAGATTAATTCGATAATGCATACACGATGATCTGCCTTTCTCACCTTTTCAGAGCTCAATCCAGTCGATGTACATAACAAACTAATTTGTGCTTCAATGAGGCCATCAACAGTCACCCATCCGGCTACTTTTCTTAAAAAATCTACTGAGCTTTTGCATTGATTACAAGCTGAAAAAATGAGCACAACACAAGATGTTTGTATTGATAAAATCGATAAGAATGAATCGAAAGGGCAACGACAACAACAACAACAATAGCACCAGGTCTAATCAAAAAGTAGAAATAAACTCACTTTCATCTGCCTTCAGTGGTGTCTAAAATCAATTATAGAAAGTGATAAAAAAACAAACAAATTAGTCAAGTATACAGTTGTATAATTACAATGCGAGTAGTATTTACATGGGAATATATTACTAAAACAAATGATTGTAAACTCTAATGCAGTGACTAGTATATATATATTAAATAATTTGGAATTGCACATGAAGACTTGCAAGCAGGCGGAAACCGACAAACTGGCTGAAGATTCGAACAGACGGTGAAGACAAGACTGCAGATGAACACGGAGATAACCATCAAAGGGGGAGAAATTTTACAGAGGTTACTTCCTTTACTTATCATCGTTTCAACTACGCGCAGTTGGAACGGATGAAGATGTCAAAACTGGTTAGTATCGGAAAAAGGCGAGATACACCTTCATCAACCTGAAACCAGTTTGGAAATCTTCTGCACTCTCCACCTCAGCATAACACAACAAGGTTGGTATTTTCAACACCAATGTCAGGTTGACCTTTTCTATATGGGTAAGAAACTTGGTGTTCATGTCACAAAAAGCCTTTCCAACAGGTTGTAGAATTTCATCAACATCTGCTTTCACTCCATACTGTGAAGATCAAATGTCCTGAAAGAATTAGGAGCAAGAAACTCTGGCTGGGAACAAACCAACAGACGAGAGCCTACTGTTCAACAAATATGTAAGAGAAAATGAGGATGGATCGGGTGTACATCGAGGAGACTGTCAAATGACATCATCATGCACTAGCCAGGTCAGTGCTCGAATGGAATGCAAATGGAAAGTGATGAGTGGGTCGTCCTAAGGTGATATGGAGGTGATCGTGTGAAGAAGAGATGACAGATTATTGGCAATCGTTGATCCAGCTGAAAGGGGATGGCAGAAAACAGAAGAAAGTAGAGATCTGAAGCCCTATGTTCCACTCGGAACCCAAGGGAATAATGATGATAACAATATAAAAACTGATGAGTATAAAGTAGAGAAACCCTGAACACTCTACAAGACTGGGAGAGCTCTGTGTTTGTTTCACTCTAGTCTGGAGCTCTTGATTATTAATAATAATAATAATAGAAATTTCCTTTATTCCAGAAACAGTACTAGTGGTACAGTGTGAAATTTTCAGCACATATCCACAATATTGCATCTAATTTTATCAAATATTTGAAGAGGAGTATTTGAACATATTATTATAAAAAACAACAACAAAAAAACACAAAAATAATAAAAAAATGCGAAAAAATACCGAGAAGTAGAAAGGAAAATAAACAACAAAAATAAATAATATCTCAGTATTGGGTAGTGGAAGGTGTGAACAGTTTAGCTATAATCATACAAGAAGTTATGAAATGATATTAGGAATGTTTATCTATTTTTATTTTATCTTTTTTATTTTTGATTTACAGCTTGATTCCACACTGTATTTTCGGTACAAGTATGGAATTTTCAGCATGGATATCGGTAGCCCAAATTTTGCAGGCCGACCATAGATATCAGATGTGCGTCGGTGCGGGCTCGAACCCCGGACCATGTGCATGGTCGGCGAGAGTCCTAACCACTGTGCCACCGACGCCATGATGATCAGTTAATTTGATTGAACTACACTAAACAATCATAAAATTAACATTTCAGGTTGTGTTTTTTTATTGTTAGCACTAATGCAGTGTTTGTAGTGGTAGTGTGAGTAATCCTGCATAATACAAAAATTTTTAAGATGGTGATAACAGCGTTCACAACCAAGATTGTCAGTTAATATTGCCGAACAAACAACAACCACAAAACTAATATTACATGATGGTTAACGACAGGACTCATAGTGCTAATATAGTCGGAACCAATAGATACACAAAAGAAGGAATAGAGTAAAGTACAAAAAAGGAAGCCAATGTTAGTAATTTAGGTATCTGAGTATGTTTAAGATGGTTGTTCACTATAGAGTACAAATAAGAGAGTATAAGGGGGAAATAAAAGAGCCTAAAATTATGTTACTAACAACAAAGCAAGTCATAGGTTTCACGCTTAACATTGTCTCTGTCACTTAGAACACGCGCCAGATATGGTATCTTTGAGTTCGTGTACTTGGTTGTTTGCGCATATATTATTTTGTATACTGATTTCTGGTTCTACCTGATGAGATATAAGGAGAGAGTTGGGAATAGAGGGGGTGTTGGGGGTCGGAGAGTATGGTTTTAAACCATTTGTCGCATGTATTCAGATGCCTTTCTACCAATGTAGTGATGAACTGACTGAGTTTTACACCACTAGTCCTACTAACTGCCTTCAACATCCTTCTCAGGATGGTATAGTCGTTTTTCAGTAGCCCAGAAAAGACTGGCGGGGAGCAGTAAAGTAGAATAGGTAAGATACGAGAGTTGACAAATTGTGAAAGCAGAGGTTGGGTAATTATAGATAGTCTAAGTTTCTTAATGTAGTAGGTTAGACGGAACACTTCTTAGAAATTTTTATTGAACGCCTGTAACTCCACTAAGGCTTGATTAAATCTGCATGAAAATTAATTAACGAAACCGTCAGAAACTCTAAATCTAGAGTATTTTTCTAAAATGAATATTGGTTTCATCTTTTCATTCCTGATGCACTTTTAATCTCTCTGTGATATTAGTCGGTGAGTTTCACGATGTCCGGAGTCATGTAGATGATCATCCATGTCATTAGTTGGCGGTAGTGGTAACGGTATGTCAAGCACTGACGGAAGAAGTTAGCATTCACAGGTTACTAGATCTCAATCCAGTGCCTGAATGGCCTCGTAAAATAAAGTTTTTTCTGAGGGTTCGATTCCTTATAAGATCATTGAGGTGCACCGTCAACGAGTTCAAGACCAGGAGTAAACGACTGTCAGTAACAACTGGTTTCTAATAATTCTCTAATCAATCTTAGTTCGTGACAAAATCAACAAAGAAACTTATAGTTTTGTGTTGGTTATGATAGGTCTGTTAGTGAAAATCGATTGATGAAATTTGAATTATAAGATGCCTATGAACACTATCTCCTTTATGAATATTATTTAACGCTTCAACCAGTTAATGAGTTACTTATTGAAAAAACCAAATAACCGAGCAAAGAATATCCCCCATTCGATAACTTCCTCCTCCTCTGGCTCTACAATTATATCTGTATGCCTACATACATAGAATATTCCAGAATAGTACTCAATAACAATTTTAGTATTTTTTAAATATTGTCGATTTGTAAAGTGAGATCACAATGGAATTACAGTTCACTAGAGATGCATAAATTATAATAAGCATAAAAATGTAATAGCAAATAGAATATCAACTAAAATTAAGGAAATTTCCCTAACAAATTGAGGATCATTCGAACCTAGATGGCCAGTGGGGGTTAGGACCATGTCTGAACTAGCTTCTTCTTATGGACACATAAATTAGGCTTCTTAATGTGGATCTCAACAATCAGCTTCAGCAATATTTAGTAAACGAACTCTTGAGGTGAAGTTAAGATTTGTTGGTATGCACGGTAAATGACAGCTCACCAGGTTATTTCGTCAATCATTCAACTTACGAAGATTTAAACTTGTAATCGATAAACTTTATGATATGTATTAAACAACGAGTTAAGAAGCAAGTGAAAACCATTGAACCATTGAAAATATAAAACAAAATCTGACTTACCGTGAAAGCTGAGTGAATCATGTAAACTTCTATAAAATACAAACACACAAAAATAACAAATAAATTACAAACAATCAAATTGGAATCATTATAAAATTTTGAAATAATAATACTAATGATAATGATAATACACTTTACCTAGTAAAATAAAACTTAGAAAAATGTAGCGATTCATTATTGAACAGTAGTGGGCGCGCTTTTGGTCTTTCGCGGTTATGATGAATAGGTAATTTGTTTAAAAAGATGCCTTTATATAAGGTATGATCAGATTTATTTGTAACTCTCCGAATACTTTGAACATGTATAATATTCAAAGTACAAAGGATAAGTGGTTTCTTTACATTGTGAATAAACAGTTTCGACTGAGTCGTTTTGAAGTTTAGAACTGAAAAAAACAAAAATCCAAAACAGCAATTAAAAACCGCGAGTGAACATGAGTGCTATTTTACACTATTCATGTATAACGCAAGACTTTGCCCTGTTTTGAAGTGATTTTGATAATGAAAAATATAATAATAATACATAAAGTTGATATGAACTTTTTTCGAAATAACTAAATGATTTATCTTAACTTATTGTTTATAAGTCTATTAGTAATTGGGAATTAAAAACAAAAATATGAATTACAATTACAGTTTAATGTTAATTTAGTCTGGTAATTGTTAAAGCAGTATTGGAATGAAAAAGGAGTATTTCGTCCTATATGAGACTCACTAACTGGATATATACCTGTATTCCTAGTCAGGCAGTGATGATGTTCACACTGACAGTCGAATCCAGCATCTATTTATATTTATAGTTTCACATGCTACCTATTGTGCAATAGAAAGTAACTGATAAATGAAAGTACATACTGTCGCTGGTATAGACGTGCGTGTACTGCTCAGCAGTCCACCTCGTTCTTCTATGCGATTGTGACTGACATATGGTCATTGAAAGTGGAAGACATGAAAAGACTGGCTGACTGGCTAGCTAGCTAGCTGTCTTTGATCATAGGTATCAGCGTTCTGGTGAGAAATATTGGGGGTTAGGCATCGGTTGAGTGTTAGGTGAGGCGGGGAAACCAATCGATGAGTTAGTTGGTATATGTGTTACGCATGTCTAACCATCCATCACCTTACTTGACGGGCGATGTTAATTGACTGACATAGAGGATGGATGTAGTTGGAAAAGAGCTAACTAGTGATGGTCAAACCAGAAAATAGCTTCATCATCCAATGAAATCCACAACAGTTATATAAGCCAGCCAGTAAGGAGGTGTTGACTGCTGTCTGATCGGAGTCCTAGGTAGGTGGTGATATGGCTCAAAATCGTTGTCAAGGTCTGATGTAGGTGCATTCACTCTTTGTGATTTATTATATCCAATAAACCTCTATTGTTTCTCCCTCATTCACACTTCTGTTTATTATCCCTCTCCGTTTTGAATCTGTCTTTACTCTCTTTGTTTGCTTTAACTGGTACATAGATAGAGTGTGGCAAGTGGAACTGCTGCATACATCTGTGCAAAGTTCTACACTGAAACCAGTCAGTCAGTCAGTCGGCCAGTTAGTTAGTTAGTCAGAAGGTACATCTGTCTAATAAGAGTTATACAGAGGACGAAATGTGCATCCTAGATTTCACGTCTATAGTTACCATCACAAATCAGATGTGACATCATATTGATAATTTCAATGCATCATCCAAATATCTATACTAAGCGCGAATAATGTTAACCGAGGCTGATTATTCCAGTTCAACGAAAGAACAAAAAAAAGTAATCAGAGGGGAATCGAAAAAAAAAATTATTTTTTTTATAAAGTTTTTTTTTTTTTTTTTTCCTTTAATACAACTTAAACAAAAGCAAAAAACAATACATATATGTATATGTACAATTTTCAAATATAAGGGTTTGAACATAGTTTTACCAAGTTGACGACGAGTTACTGAACTCCATAAGACATAAATCTGAGATGATATAAGTAATGTAATTATTACAAGTGTTGAAATAATAATTAAGTGTGTTTACAGTACTTCATATACCGAATTATCTTTTATGAATTCATGAGAAAGAAGTTGTCATGACATCGACCAAATCGCAACACTACTGATCATCACTGAACAGAGCTTAGAATGGCAGTCACCTCTCTATCTCAACTTCATTGACTTTGAAAAGGCCTTCAACAGCTCAGAGTCGGTAGAGAGGTGATTTAACAATTACTTCACTACTACTACTACTACTACCAAGGTGTGATACCAACAATTATACACCTCATCCGACAGTTGTATGACGATGCTGCATGCCAAGTAATCCACGAGAGAAACTCTCAGAATTCTTCGAAATGAAGACGGGTGTAATACAAGCTGGCTGTCTGCCTACTATCTTGAATGATTTTTGATATAAGAATAAAACTTTTGTCTATTAATATTCGAATGGGGATTTTTCATGGATATCGTCTATATGTCAATAATGCAGTTTTTGAGTACAACAATGAAAGTTATGCTTCATACCTACTAACATTATTTAGTGGAGCACATTCAAACTATTGAATTTTTTACTATGGAAAATGAAAATGATGGAAAGTATCATCACCTTAACATCAACATGTCCCGCTTGTTTTTCTTGCTCGTTTTCAAAATTCTCGAATAATAGAATGAGTATTCTTGCAAAACTGTCAAGCGGGACGGGAAGAAGAGTACAAAACTAGAAATAGTGTGTTTAGTTTGTAAACGGCTGAGAATTAATTGACAAATAATTCAATTAACTGTTATACACGCCAATCTGAGTCACATCTGGTATCATTGTGAGCGATGGCGTGGAGTGTGATCAAGTGTGTCACTCACTTGATTGTTTCTCTTCTTAGAATAGGGCCAATCCATCTAATACCATTTCTTTCTCCATATTTGTTTCACAATTGGTTCCTGCTGGGTTGGTTCGCTCATAGCCAGAGATCTCTCCCTGTTGATGATGTTTTCTGGCGGGCCATCTGATCTAGAGTAGTATTGAGCGAAGATAGTTGTTATTGGAGGTGTGTATTTTTTTCGGAGTGTCCTTCGTGTCGAGTCAAGCATTATGAAATATATGGGGCGGAATTAAATATTCAATCCTAGTGAGTGCGTACCGCTGGTTATTGTCAGAATTGTAGGAAGCAGCTGTCCAGTACTCCCTGGTTGATTGTAGCATTTAACGTCAGTAGTTATATTAGTGTCTATATGATGCACAGTGTGCGTGCTGAGTGTGAAAGGATAGAGCTTCTCAGTCAGTCTGATAAACATTCTCGAATACATACGTTATGAGAGCCTGAAGAAAACTTTTATAGAAAACAAACTGACACTGAAATAGCTATCAGTAGTATTAATATTCACCTGATAAAAAGAATAATTTTCAGTGTACTATACATGTTGGTTAACTGATAGCTAACGAGAACAGAATTTCCAGAGAAATAACAAACTCACACACACACAGTATGTGAATTTCTTCGAAAAGAAATTTGGGGCGATAATCGAACGATTATTAAAACCACGCGTCGTATGATGCGTCAAATACGAAAACACAGCATGCGTCTAAAATACGGTACTATATTGAACATAAAAATATGAAATATAATACTTCTCATTCGGATTCCACTCGAGTGATGGCCTGGATTACGCTGAATGTCAGCAGGTGGTTTCGTCAATGCATGCTCGATCCATATCTCCTTTCTCCTCCATATTTTTGTTGAGCCATCGGCTCTTGGTTGGTTTGTTCATCGCCAGAGTTTCTTGTTACTTATTCTTTCTGGCCACTTGATCTTCAGTAAGGAGGAGCCAACGAAGTGGGCAGCTGTTAATGAGAAAGTCTGCAATCTAGTTAGCAAAATAGTGTAATGTGTCTAGTCCTCTGTTTGGTGTTGACAGAACTGATAGAAACGTGACTGGCATGATACAGTCTGCACCAAACAGGGGACTAGACACACTATAGTAGTTGCTCACTAGTCTCCAATAAAAGTGTCCAATATAGTCCTACAGGAGGTGAGTTGCGAGCTCGAATAGCTGCTCACTGGTAGCATCTCTGACTTCAGACTTCGGTGGGTGATGCAAGTTCGAATTTCAGAACAGACAAGACTTCCTTCAAGGTGATTGCAGATAAGCCTTGATGACTAATGAGTGCCAACTAGCACTAGGTACACCATTAAAAACTAAGACTCTACTCTGGGAAGGCTTTAAAGAATTCATACATTTTAGGAACATGAAAAGTGTTAAAACCATAAAAGTCACTGACTTTAATAAAAGAATAAAACCTGAGAACTGTGGTAGAGTATAACTCCGTTATGGATAACACTTTACTTTGATAAATCACACAATGGAGTGTTGTTATACAGTGTTATATTTACTACTGATGACCACACGCGTTGAGTACAATTCATTACTGCACTTCATAATCATATCAAGTCACTCACTCAATCACTCACACAACCCACTTTCTTGCTTCGTTTATATACATGACTGAAAAGTGATGATTAGACGTTTGATGAACAAAATCAATAAGATGAGATAAAGTAGATTCAGAAACAATAATATTAGTGTTATCAATCAAATACAATCAGATGGGAAATAAGACGTTCTAACAGTAAAATAAATAAATAACTTGTTAAATTGTTATAATGCGTGTGAATTGAATACATTTTAACATTATTTATTATCCTCCTCTTCTTATTCGACTGACTGGTGGGAATAATATCCTCCATATCTCTGGTATTTGTGATGATGAGTCACTTCCATCGCCCATGTGTTGTGTTGGGTGTAGACTCGATGAACCAGGCAGGATTCAGTAATCAATCTCTCTCTCTCTCTTTCTTCCACCTACCTATATTACTTTTGAGAAATTTAACCCCCTCCCAGTCTATTGTGTGACTGTGTGTTAATGCATGCAGTGCGATTGATGAGTTTCTTTCTAAATTAATTATCATCATGGGATCAGTCATTCTAACCTTAGTTAATTCTTATGTTCTTATAATCTCATTACACCTGATCTACTAGTTTGACTTATGCAGTTGACTTAAATCACAACCATTGCAAAGTATTTTGTAAAATATATTACTTTGTCTAATTGGGTCAACCGACAGGCTCCTTTAGCCTACAGAGCTGGTCTCTGAATGATTTTGTAGGTTAGAATGCCAACTTAATTGACGCTTTATTCAGAATCCACACAAGTCTGCCGAGGCAATCGTTATCAATCAACTGAAACCTAACTTATGTGTTCACAAAGAGGCAGTTGTCAGTCTTTTCTTGCCCTAACAACTTGACATCTTCACTCTCTCTCTCTCTCTCTCTCCTATTTCACTACGTAATCTCTGACCTTATTCCATTCCCTTTTTGATATAGTGTAACTTAGCTTGTCTTTCTAATTTGAGTTGAACTCATAACATTGTTACTAGATTTATTTTTTCTCTCCACATCTTATTCACCACTTGTCTTTATTATGTAACTCCATTTACCAATGTATGCAACCATTTTATTTCTGTGTAAACTTGAACTTTCTGAGTATGAGCTATATAAGCGGAATTTTCTGAGCACTGTTTATTGAATTTGGAGCATTCTGTCAACTGACGTTGTGTAACATTTGCATGTATGTTAAGAGTGTTCTGCACATAAACTTCGTAATTTCTTTAGACTGTAAGCTAGCAGTTGATGAGAAGCCAACAAAATAAGCAATCATGGTACCACCTTGTTGTGTACAGACTATTGTTGTTCTTATTATTATTGTTTCTTGTAATTCTTAGAGGAACGTAGGGTTTCAGCTGCCCACGTCTCCACTGCGTTCGGTTCTCTGCCAACGTCTTCATCACCTGGCTTCACGTCCGCCAATATGATTTCATCTCCTCTTCACATCACCTCCTCTTCAATGTCAACTCACCCTCGCACTGACGACCAACTAACTCGCCGCTCTCCATTCGGAATCCACTCGACCGATGGCCTGGCGTGTAATATCACTTGATGGTTTCTTTTCTCAGAGTATAGCCAATCCACCTACCTCCATTTCTTCCTGCATATTTGTTGCCCAGTTGGTTCCTACTGGGTTGGTTGGCTCGTTCCCAGAGATCCCTCCCTGTTGATGATCTGTTCTGGCCGGCCATCTGATCTTGAGTGGTGGTATTGAGCGAAGGCAGCTGTTGAGGAAGGTCTGAAGTATGTTCGACATGCTCTTTATGACACGCCAAGTCTCTGATCTGTATAGTAGCACTGACTGACTTCACATTGGAGTTGAAAATCCCGATCTTATTTTTGATGCTGAGTGCTGTTAATCTCCACATAGACTTAAGAGTAATGAAAGCTTGTCTTGCCTTTCCGATTCTGGCTTTGATATCCTCGTCAGTTCCGCCTGTAGTTGAAATCACGCCTCCCAGGTAGGTGAAGGAGGTTACTTGTTTTAGATTTCTCCCATTTATGCTGGCTGATTGTTGTCTGTTGTTGCTGTTTCTGTTGACCAGGAATCTTCATCGCCTATCTTTGATGCTTCTTCTTCTATCGCCAACTTGTTGTTTTTCACTAACAAATCTTCCAGTTTTTGGGAAGTGAGACATGTATATCATCGGCGAAGTCCAGATCCTCCAGGCTTTTGTGTTGATCTGTTTTATGCGTGTTTCCCCGCTATCTGTCTGTCGCGTTATCCAGTCTACCGCCCTCTATCGGGAAAATCATTGAATATAGTAGGTAGCCAGACAGCCTTCTGTTACTCTCGACTTCACTTCGAAGGATTCCGTGAGTTTCCCGTTGTGGATTACTTGCCATGCAGAATTGTCATACAACTGTCGGATGAGGTGTATCATTGTCGGTGGCACCCCGTAGTGGCGGAGTAGTTTCCAAACCACCTCTCGATCGACACTGTGCTATCGAAGGCCTCTTCAAAGTAATTGAAATTGAGATAGAGAGGTGACTGCCATTCTAAGCTCTGTTCAGTGATGATCAGTAGTGTTGCGATTTGGTCGATGTCACGACAACTTCTTTCTCATGAACTCATAAAAGATAATTCGGTATATGAAGTACTGTAAACACACTTAATTATTATTTCAACACTTGTAATAATTACATTACTTATATCATCTCAGATTTATGTCTTATGGAGTTCAGTAACTCGTCGTCAACTTGGTAAAACTATGTTCAAACCCTTATATTTGAAAATTGTACATATACATATATGTATTGTTTTTTGCTTTTGTTTAAGTTGTAGGCAGTTGAAGAGCGAAAATCAACAAAATAACTAAAATGAACTCTTTAGATCTAAGAAATAAACTGTAATTGTTATCTGTTATGTCGCGAATTCCCCTCTGATTACTTTTTTTTTGTTCTTTCGTTGAACTGGAATAATCAGCCTCGGTTAACATTATTCGCGCTTAGTATAGATATTTGGATGATGCATTGAAATTATCAATATGATGTCACATCTGATTTGTGATGGTAACTATAGACGTGAAATCTAGGATGCACATTTCGTCCTCTGTATAACTCTTATTAGACAGATGTACCTTCTGACTAACTAACTAACTGGCCGACTGACTGACTGACTGGTTTCAGTGTAGAACTTTGCACAGATGTATGCAGCAGTTCCACTTGCCACACTCTATCTATGTACCAGTTAAAGCAAACAAAGAGAGTAAAGACAGATTCAAAACGGAGAGGGATAATAAACAGAAGTGTGAATGAGGGAGAAACAATAGAGGTTTATTGGATATAATAAATCACAAAGAGTGAATGCACCTACATCAGACCTTGACAACGATTTTGAGCCATATCACCACCTACCTAGGACTCCGATCAGACAGCAGTCAACACCTCCTTTGAGGATAGGCAACACCAGGCAACTCTTTGGACTCATCAGGGAAACGGGTGGGAGAAGACAAATCATTAGTGAGACAATCTCGGAAAAAAATGGCACTATAATTAGCTCCAGGATAGACGACTGGATCGTTGGAAAGAGCATTATGAGGAGCAGTTTAATTTGCCCACAGCCACGCTCAACCTTCCGAGCATCCAACACCTCCCTGAATGGGATATAGACACAGGTCCTCCGTCACTAACTGAGGTTACTAAAGCTGTCACCAATCTGAAACTAGGCAAAGCAGCGGGACCTGATGGAATGACGCCAGAGGTATTTAAGTACGGTGGAGACAGCTTACTGTCCGGATTAACTGAGGTACTAGGCAGCGTCTGGGAATCAGAAGAAGTCCCATCGGGTTGGTGTAAGTCACTGATTATCCCCATATACAAGAAGGGAGACAAGTCTTCCTGTGATAATCACAGAGGGATTAGCTTGACTAATATAGTATCTAAAGTCTTAGGCTCAATAATCATGCGTAGACTGAGTGGTGCTCGGGAAGCACAAACACGAGAGAGCCAGGCAGGCTTTAGACCAGGAAGAGGGTGTATTGATCATATCTTCACCCTCCGACAGATTCTAGAACATAGGCATTCCTACCGGCGTCCAACAGTCATTATATTTCTTGACCTAAAGGCAGCATTCGACTCTGTCGATCGGGAAGTTCTCTGGAGATGCTTGGCTGTAAAGGGAATTCCAAGAAAATATATTGCACTGATTAAGGCACTCTATTCGTACTCATACAGCCAGGTGAGGGCTTACGGCGAGCTGTCATCTGAACTGATGACGACCAGTGGTGTCCGTCAAGGATGCCCATTATCTCCTTTTCTATTCAACTTCATCATAGATGTGTTAATGGACTTAACCCTAGGTGACTTCAGCGACTCAGGGATTGACTTGCTACCGGGGAATAATCTCGTTGACTTGGAATATGCAGACGATATAGTCCTTCTAGGCGAAGACGCTGACGAAATGCAGAGTCTTCTAAACACCTTGAGCCGCAATCTACGAATGTTTGGCATGCGATTCGCTCCCGCCAAATGCAAGATGATGTTACAGGACTGGACTACATCGACGCCTAGTTTAAAAATAGGAAGTGAAGTGGTAGAGCACGTTGACCGCTTCACTTATTTGGGAAGTACCATCAGCCACCAACGGGCTGATCTCTGACGAAATCTCAGCACGAATACAAGGGGCTCGTTTCGCATTTGTTAGTTTACGCCGACTCTGGCGTAGACGAGATGTTCGACTATCGACCAAAGGGCGGGTGTACTGCTCATCAGTCCGCTCCGTCCTCCTTTATGGTTGTGAGACCTGGCCACTGAGAGTGGAAGACATGAAAAGACTAGCTGTCTTTGATCATAGGTGCCTGCGTTCTATTTCCCGTGTAAAGTGGCATAATAAGGTGAGCAACATGGAGGTTAGGCGTAGAGTTCTAGGTAAACAGGGGAAATCAATCGACGAAGTCGTGAAGCTACATCGACTGAGATGGTTAGGACATGTGTTACGTATGCCAAGTCATCGCCTCCCTCGACGAGCAATGTTAGCGGATATAGGGTCAGGCTGGAAAAAAGCTAGCGGCGGTCAAACAAAAACTTGGCATCAGTCAATGAAATCCACAACAGTTGGTCTTAGCCACGTAGAAAGGTGTAGACTTCCAGGCTGGGGTCCTCGGGACGGTAAAAATCTATGGTTGGAAACAATTGGTGACATGGCTCAAAATCGTTCTCAGTGGCGCAGATGCATCCACTCCCTGTGACTTATGATCTTCAATGAAACTGTTTTGTATTTCTTTATTACTCCTTTGTCTCACACCTCTGCTCACTGTTTCTATTATGCTTTTCTTGTACTTTCTTCTCTTGCTTCGCGTGCTACACGGAATGTGGCGACTTGAACTTCCGCACATTTGTGCAAAGTTCTATGTCGAAAACAGACAGACAGACAGACAACACCTCCTTACGTGGCCGGCTTAAACTAACTGTTGTGGATTTCATTGGATGATGAAGCTATTTTCTGGTTTGACCATCACTAGTTAGCTCTTTTCCAACTACATCCATCCTCTATGTCAGTCAATTAACATCGCCCGTCAAGTAAGGTGATGGATGGTTAGGCATGCGTAACACATATACCAACTAACTCATCGATTGGTTTCCCCGCCTCACCTAACACTCAACCGATGCCTAACCCCCAATATTTCTCACCAGAACGCTGATACCTATGATCAAAGACAGCTAGCTAGCCAGTCAGCCAGTCTTTTCATGTCTTCCACTTTCAATGACCATATGTCAGTCACAATCGCATAGAAGAACGAGGTGGACTGCTGAGCAGTACACGCACGTCTATACCAGCGACAGTATGTACTTTCATTTATCAGTTACTTTCTATTGCACAATAGGTAGCATGTGAAACTATAAATATAAATAGATGCTGGATTCGACTGTCAGTGTGAACATCATCACTGCCTGACTAGGAATACAGGTATATATCCAGTTAGTGAGTCTCATATAGGACGAAATACTCCTTTTTCATTCCAATACTGCTTTAACAATTACCAGACTAAATTAATATTAAACTGTAATTATAATTATTTTTTTTCTTTTTAATCCCTAATTACTAGTAGACTTATAAACAATAAATTAAGATAAATCATTTAGTTATTTCGAAAAAAGTTCATATCAACTTTAAGTATTATTATTATATTTTTCATTATCAAAATCACTTCAAAACAGGGCAAAGTCTTGCGTTATACATGAATAGTGTAAAATAGCACTCATGTTCACTCGCGGTTTTTAATTGTTGTCGTGTTGTTTTTTTCAGTTCTAAACTTCAAAACGACTCAGTCGAAACTGTTTATTCACAATGTCATCTAAAACAAATTAAGTATCAATTTGAAAAAAATACATTGCGTACTATTGATTAATTAACTTGAAAATAGATAATTGAACTCGACTGAATTTTCATTCATGTAAATGCAGTAGTTCAACTTGTCAGACTTCATAAAACCACACACACACTCATGTTAGGAATGAAAGTATATGTGAAAATTAGGGTTACACAGAAATTAATGAAAATTGAATAGATTTGGAGTGTTTGATAAGATGTGCGAAAATATCTGGACCGTTGAGAAGGATTTTTAGGCATATCACGGTATCACCTCCAGCTACTTATTCCCGGCATCTCGCGGACCCCCTAGTCAGACGACTGACACCTACCTTCTTGGCTCAAACACAGACGGTCAGGGACTTAAGGTCTCGGTTTGATCACCGTGGCTCATTTTATCAGTTAACATTAATCGACGATGAAGACAACTGTACTCTGGTATCCGTAAAACTCCGGTTTTACCATTCAAGGAGGGGACATCTGAGGCCTTACCTAGGTAGGATTCTGAATAAAGCGTCAATTAAGTTGGCATTCTAACCTACAAAATCATTCAGAGTCCAGCTCTGTAGGCTAAAGGAGCCTGTCGGTTGACCCAATTAGACAAAGTAATATATTTTTACAAAATACTTTGCAATGGTTGTGATTTAAGTCAACTGCATAAGTCAAACTAGTAGATCAGGTGTAATGAGATTATAAGAACATAAGAATTAACTAAGGTTAGAATGACTGATCCCATGATGATAATTAATTTAGAAAGAAACTCATCAATCGCACTGCATGCATTAACACACAGTCACACAATAGACTGGGAGGGGGTTAAATTTCTCAAAAGTAATATAGGTAGGTGGAAGAAAGAGAGAGAGAGAGATTGATTACTGAATCCTGCCTGGTTCATCGAGTCTACACCCAACACAACACATGGGCGATGGAAGTGACTCATCATCACAAATACCAGAGATATGGAGGATATTATTCCCACCAGTCAGTCGAATAAGAAGAGGAGGATAATAAATAATGTTAAAATGTATTCAATTCACACGCATTATAACAATTTAACAAGTTATTTATTTATTTTGACAATCAAAACACTCGTCTTATTTCCCATCTGATTGTATTTGATTGATAACACTAATATTATTGTTTCTCAATCTACTTTATCTCATCTTATTGATTTTGTTCATCAAACGTCTAATCATCACTTTTCAGTCATGTATATAAACGAAGCAAGAAAGTGGGTTGTGTGAGTGAGTGAGTGACTTGATATGATTATGAAGTGCAGTAATGAATTGTACTCAACGCGTGTGGTCATCAGTAGTAAATATAACACTGTATAACAACACTCCATTGTGTGATTTATCAAAGTAAAGTGTTATCCATAACGGAGTTATACTCTACCACAGTTCTCAGGTTTTATTCTTTTATTAAAGTCAGTGACTTTTATGGTTTTAACACTTTTCATGTTCCTAAAATGTATGAATTCTTTAAAGCCTTCCCAGAGTAGAGTCTTAGTTTTTAATGGTGTACCTAGTGCTAGTTGGCACTCATTAGTCATCAAGGCTTATCTGCAATCACCTTGAAGGAACTCTTGTCTGTTCTGAAATTCGAACTTGCATCACCCACCGAAGTCTGAAGTCAGAGATGCTACCAGTGAGCAGCTATTCGAGCTCGCAACTCACCTCCTGTAGGACTATATTGGACACTTTTATTGGAGACTAGTGAGCAACTACTATAGTGTGTCTAGTCCCCTGTTTGGTGCAGACTGTATCATGCCAGTCACGTTTCTATCAGTTCAGTCAACACCAAACAGAGGACTAGACACATTACACTATTTTGCTAACTAGATTGCAGACTTTCTCATTAACAGCTGCCCACTTCGTTGGCTCCTCCTTACTGAAGATCAAGTGGCCAGAAAGAATAAGTAACAAGAGACTCTGGCGATGAACAAACCAACCAAGAGCCGATGGCTCAACAAAAATATGGAGGAGGAAGGAGATATGGATCGAGCATGCATTGACGAAACCATCTACTGACATTCAGCGTAATCCAGGCCATCACTCGAGTGGAATCCGAATGAGAAGTATTATATTTCATATTTTTATGTTCAATATAGTACCGTATTTTAGACGCATGCTGTGTTTTCGTATTTGACGCATCATACGACGCGTGGTTTTAATAATCGTTCGATTATCGCCCCAAATTTATTTTCGAAGAAATTCACATACTGTGTATGTGTGAGTTTGTTATTTCTCTGGAAATTCTGTTCCCGTTAGCTATCAGTTAACCAAACAGTATAGTACACTGAAAATTATTCTTTTTATCAGGTGAATATTAGTACTACTGATAGCTATTTCAGTGTCAGTTTGTTTTCTATAAAAGTTTTCTTCAGGCTCTCATAACGTATGTATTCGAGAATGTTTATCAGACTGGCTGAGAAGCTCTATCCTTTCACACTCAGCACGCACACTGTGCATCATATAGACTCTAATATAACTGTTGACGTTAAATGCTACAATCAGCCAGGGAGTACTGGACAGCTGCTTCCTACAATTCTGACAATAACCAGCGGTACGCACTCACTAGGATTGAATATTTAATTACGCCCCATATATTTCATAATGCTTGACGCGACACGAAGGACTCTCCGAAAAAATACACACCTCACACAACAACAATATTCGCTCAATACTACTCTAGATCAGATGACCCGCCAGAAAACATCATCAACAGGGAGAGATCTCTGGCTATGAGCGAACCAACCCAGCAGGAACCAATTGTGAAACAAATATGGAGAAAGAAATGGTATGAGATGGATTGGTCCTATTCTGAGAAGAGAAACAATCAAGTGAGTGACACACTTGATCACACTCCACGCCATCGCTCACAATGATACCAGATGTGACTCAGATTGGGGTGTATTACAGTTAATTGAATTATTTGTCAATTAATTCTCAGCCGTTTACAAACTAAACACACTATTTCTAGTTTTGTACTCTTCTTCCCGTCCCGCTTGACAGTTTTGCAAGAATACTCATTCTATTATTCGAGAATTTTGAAAACGAGCAAGAAAAACAAGCGGGACATGTTGATGTTAAGGTGATGATACTTTCCATCATTTTCATTTTCCATAGTAAAAAATTCAATAGTTTGAATGTGCTCCACTAAATAATGTTAGTAGGTATGAAGCATAACTTTCATTGTTGTACTCAAAAACTGCATTATTGACATATAGACGATATCCATGAAAAATCCCCATTCGAATATTAATAGACAGAAGTTTTATTCTTATATCAAAAATTATTCAAGATAGTAGGCAGACAGCCAGCTTGTATTACACCCATCTTCATTTCGAAGAATTCTGGAAGTTTCTCCTCGTGGATTACTTGGCATACAGCATCGTCATACAACTGTCAGATGAGGTGTATAATTGTTGGTATCACACCTTGGTAGTAGTAGTAGTAGTAGTGAAGTAATTGTTAAATCACCTCTCTACCGACTCTGCGCTGTTGAAGGCCTCTTCAAAGTAAATGAATTTGAGATAGAGAGGTGACCGCCATTCTAAGCTCTGTTCAGTGATGATCAGTAGTGATGCGATTTTGGTCGATGTCACGACAACTTCTTTCTCATGAATTCATAAAAGATATTTCGGTATATGAAGTACTGTAAACACACTTAATTATTATTTCAACACTTGTAATAATTACATTACTTATATCATCTCAGATTTATGTCTTATGGAGTTCAGTAACTCGTCGTCAACTTGGTAAAACTATGCTCAAACCCTTATATTTGAAAATTGTACATATACATATATGTGTATTGTTTTTTGCTTTTGTTTAAGTTGTAAGCAGTTGAAGAGCGAAAATCAACAAAATAACTAAAATGAACTCTTTAGATCTAAGAAATAAACTGTAATTGTTATCTGTTATATCGCGAATTCCCCTCTGATTACTTTTTTTTGTTCTTTCATTGAACTGGAATAATCAGCCTCGGTTAACATTATTCGCGCTTAGTATAGATATTTGGA